GTGTTTGCCTTCACTGATTAACACAGTACTGTGTGTGCAAAAGGTTCATCTTTGTTGTCTGTACCTCCCACACTGTTCTAATTCTTGATCAGGCCTTATATTTTTAGGGAAAGAGCTGCCTTTTGTTACCTGGTATCAAGGCATTGAGAAGTCCTGAAGCCAAGTTTCTAAAATTACTTGGACTTTCTATGGTGGGGAACGTGGAGAGTGAAGATTCAGGTTCTGCTGGGTTAAGGTCTTTTCGTCAGGTTTTGCCCAATGTGGCCCAGGCAGCCTTTCATTTATTTGATTTGTGCCTGCTCGCCTGCACGGGCAGGTTCTCTTCTAATTGAATGAGTCGTTTATAAGCCTAATCCTTTCCTTCTCCATCCTGAACCTAATTCACCTGAGAGATTTAAATCCATCAGCAAGATTTACCTCCCCACTTACTGGCTCAGGAAAAAGCCCAAGAATTTCCTAGCAATACAGTCACAGTATGTGTCACATCTGATGGGGAAGGGAAGACAGGTGCTGTAAGAAGGAACACTGCAGAGGTGAGAGCAGAGACGGGGCTGTGGGGAGGGTGTCAAACCCCATAAAAGGTAATTTGGGTCTAAGAAGAGACCAAAGGCCTTTGGTAAACCCACAATGAGATTAATGATACGATCCATGTCAGCACTGATCTGTAACCTGTTGGAGGGTTGCAATCCTCGACCCTCACATAGATGGACTGCAAATGGATTTATTTTCAGGGCCCTGCACCTCCAAAAAGGATCCCTGGTGGTACAGTGACTGACCTCTCAGCTGCTAAATGAAAGGTCAGCAGTTTGAACCCCTGCCAGCCACTCCATGGTAGAAAGATGAGGCAGTCTGTTTCTGTAACAATACAGCCTTGGAAATTCTATGGGGCAGTTCTACTCTGTCCTATACGGTCACTGTGAGTCAGAATCAACTCGATGGCAATGGGTTTGGTTTTTTTCATTGTTACGTCCAAATAAATAAAAAGTGGCTTTTTTCTCTTCATCACTGTGATATGCAATGGGCTTTCTCTATTCCTACAGCACCAATCTGTTTGTAACCAACTTTGCATTTATTTAAGGAGCTCTGGTGGCACAGCAGTTAAGGCATTTGGCTGCTAACCTAGAAGGCTGGTAGTTGGAACTCACCAGCTGATCTGCAGGAGGAAGATGAGGCAATCTACTTCTGAAAAGATTTACAGCCTTGAAAACCCTACAGGTTGCTATGAGTCGGAATTGACTTGATGGCAGTGGGTAGTTTTTTTTTTTTTTTTTTTTACTTTTCACTCGTGCGCTTTTCACTTGGTGTTCCTCCCAAACTAGATTATAATTTCCTCGATGGCTGGCAGTTTCTTTAAAATTATTATCTCTTTTCATTTAATTAACATTTCAAGCATAGGAAGGATTGTGAGGATGATGTAGGGACAGTGCCAGGACAGTGTTTCGTTCTGTTGTATACAGGGCCACTATGAGTTGCAATCAACTTGATGGCACCTACCACCACCACCACCACCACCACCACTCTATGCTTGGAACTAGCATGGTGCTGAGTGTGGTGTAAGTGCCCAATAGTCCCTGAGTGGGTACTTCTGGGGACACTCAGGTTTCAAACAATATTCTTTCAAGGCCCAAGATGCTGGTGATGACCTGGATTGAGATAGGGATGGAGTCATGGGAAGGAAGGGGGTGACTGACTAGAAACTTAGTCTGTTCCCAATGCCCTGATGCTAAACTCCAACCCATATGAGGGTCCAGATTTGAAAGGGCAGTCGATTTTCTCTGTTGTGGTTTGACTTCTGCCTGTACATATCCCTTCAGCGCACAGCCTGGTTCTCTCGGCACAAGTTCCTCACTTTTCAGGCAACAGCGCTGCAGGAATTCACCCTTCCCCTGAACAAGTGGGTGAAGATGCTACCAGCTCCCCTTAGCCTCACAGTGGAAGTCCACTGCCCTGGGCGCGCTTGGGAATCTGACTCTTGTCCAACTTGTATGGTTGGGGCACTTGCAGAGAAGCCTGAGGAGGACTCCAACACCAGGTGGAAGCTAGTCTCTAAACCCAGCGCCAGCACGGTCCCCTGTGGTCACACCGTGCCAGGCCAGCCCTGCGGGAGGAGCGGGGTCTGCTCTGACCCGGCGCCGGGGGGATGCTCCGAGGGCGGGCAGCCCCTCCTCGCACCTGGACTTTCTTGCTGTCCTGCTGCTCTCTCTTCTCCAGCTGCACCTGCAGCTTCTTCCTTTCCTGCTCGAGCTCTCGCACTCTCTTCTGCAGCTTCAGGAAGACTGTCATGTCCATGGCCGCCTTCTCTAGGCCGATTTCCTTCAGAGGAAGATGGAGAGCAAAGAGAAGGGGGTTTCAGCAGTGTAAATGCCTTAGGGACCATGTGGCACCTCCCTGCTCCCTCTGTGTGTCTGTCCTCTCCCTGATCCCAAACAGCAACCCACGGCTTCAGCACAAAGTTGATGCCAAGCACCCGTCATTTCTCACATTAATGTTGGTGTTCCCGGCTCACTTTCTGTCTGGATAACATCTGAATCTCAGCCATTTATTTTCCTCCTGCATGAGCCACTTAAAATGACCGGTCATATATTCTAAGAGCAAATGGATAAAGACACAGCCATTTTAGTTGGAAGTTAAAAGAGCTCACTTGGAGAAAATGGCCTCACACCTGAGAAATTATAAAAGTCACACATGATGCTTCCTGATGAAGAATCAATGTGGTTACTAATCACTGTGAAAGTGCTGTCAACTATCACCTGACTGCACTGTGCTAGCTGCTCTGGCTGATACCAAGAGTGCACTCAGCTTCCTTGGTGAGCATAAGTCCATGGATGGAAGCCTTATGTCTGCATGCAGACAATCACATACACAAACATCATGATGGTGAGTCTGGAGGTCAGGCGGGTGGAAACCTTTAGGGACCCAGACTTAGGACACTATAATAGCAAAACTGAGGGCCTTAAGCCAGTACTTATTAAAGGCTTACCCAGGGCACAGAGCATGCATGGGGCTGTACAGCAGAAAAGACACCTTGTATCCTGGGTACCTTCTTTCTACCCCTTTCCGTTCATGACTCTGTCACTCTCTCTTGTTGTCCTTGATTTGTCTCAACAGCACTTAGCATGGCTGCACTACATTACAGAATTGGGCCTTTAATGTTGAGTGTCTGACTCCCATCAGACAAGCTCTGTGAGGACAGGGATCTTCTCTGGCTTGGTCACATCTGTCCCTTCAGCTCCAACCAGTGGTACTGGCATGAAGCACAGGTGCAACACACATTTGCTTTTTCTGTTTTCTAACCCTCCCTCTTTTATTAAAAACCTTTTATTTATTTTTTTTTTTTGATGGTAAAATATATATAACAAAGTTTGCCATCTTAACCATTTTTAAGTGTATAATTCAGTGACATGAATCCCATTCACCATGTTTACTACCATCACAACTTACCCATTTCTGAAAAAAAACCCACATTCATTTTTTACAGCTGTCTCTCCTCTATTCCTGTCTCCAAATGTTTTACGAGGTTGTGTGTGTTTGCGATTCTCTTCTCAAATGCCAGAAGAAACACTGTGTGTCTCTGTATCTTTCACAAAACTGCACAGAGACCATAAGATCCACTGTGTGGTACATTATTTAGTGACTCTAAGAGGCTGATGCTAACAAAAATACAGTCACCCAGCATATGTCCACTCCAAATATTTGTTGTTCTCTGAATTTTATCCAGTTTCCAAAGAAGGAAAAGTTTCTTGTGCATTTATTGATATTACTACATGTGCTAGGACATGAAATGGGGATGATAAGTTACATCTGTTTTAACAACTTCACTGCTCCTTCATAAGCACCCATTTCACTCTCTGCATCAGTTCTGAGTTTTGCAGGAGGAATCACGTGTCTACCTTCCTTCCTTTCTGGGTAGTGGTGGAGGTGGATGATCATGTACTGATTTGCACAGTAAGTGTTAATTTTAGACTACTGTCTAAAACCCACTGTAGTCTGAGGGATCCTGCTATCAAGAATTAGGCCCTGGGCACTCCAGTCCCTACGGACAATACAAAACCTCTGTTGGGCAGCTCCATACAGGTGATAAACACTCCGCTGCTCCTGTGGCCCAGAGCCTGCATTACTTACGTCCACCTGTTGGACAGCATCCTCTGTGTCTCCGATCTCAGACGTGGAAATGGATGGGTAATTGGAATCAGATTCTAAGCTACTTTGGTTTGATGGGTTCCTCCTGTGGCCTGGAGTTTGCTGTTAAAGGAGAAAAATGTGAAAACTCATTAATAACAAAGTAATGTTAATAACTATTCATTCCCAAAGAATGGCAGGCCACGGAGGTGGTCTTCTGCCTCTTGTCAAGGTGAACAGGTATCACTGTCTCTTAGAATGATGGATAAATAGAGCTGTTCCCACAAAACATGTCACCAACAGTTCTTCTAGTCATCCATCTGGCTAACCAATAAAATGACAATGAGGAGAGAACATGGCTCTGGTAGAAGTCCATTTCCTTTATCTCTTGTTGTTAGGTGCCCTTGAGTCATTTCTGACTCATAGCGACCCTATGCACAGCAGAATGAAACACCGTCCAATCCTGTGCCAGCTCCATGATCCTTGCTATACTGGAGCCCATTGTCACAGCCACCCTGTCAATCCATCTCATTGAAGACCTTCTCCTCTTTCGTTGACCCTTCACCTTACCAAGCATGACATCCTTCTCCAGGGAATGGTCCCTTCTGACAACATGACGAAAGTAGGTGAGATTAAGTCTGGCCATTCTTGCTTCCAAGGAGCATTTCAGCTGCACTTCCTCCAGGACAGATCTGTTAGTTCTTTCAGCAGTCCATGGTACTTTCAGCATTCTCCACCAGCACCACAACTCAACTTCTTTGGTCTTCCTTATTCATTGTCCAGCTCTCACATGCATGAAGTGATTGAAAATATCATGGCTTGTGTCAGGCACACCTTAGTCCTCAAGGAGACATCTTTGCTTCTCAGCACTTGAAAGAGGTCCTTTGCAGCCAACTTGCCCAGTGCTATTTGTCGTCTGATGTCCTGACTGTTGCTTCCATTGGGTCGATTGTAGAACAAAGCAATGTTAAGTCTTTGACAACTTCAATCTTTTCTCCATTTATCATGATGCTGCTTATAGGTCCAGTTGTGAGGATTTTTGTTTTCTTTATATTGAGATGTAATCCAT